TTGTTTGTTTTGTTTTTCCAGAGAGTGTTTCGCTATCGGCCAGAGCGCGGGCTCAGGCCAGGTTTTCCTGACTCAGCCTCTGGGCTGAGAGTACAGTCTGTTCCATCACACTTGGGTCCCATAGCACCAATGTCTAATCGATTCGGGACTTCATACTGAAAACAGACATACGTTTTCGGAGAAAATACCCAACTTGTCTGTAATTACATCTGTAACCACCAAATGTCCTACAGCTAATGGCATCAGCTGCAAAGGATGCTGTCCACTCTGGCACTCCGTAGTGGGCCTGAAGTCACTTAATCTGGAGCTACAAAAAAGTCTGCCAGGGTGTGAATAGTCCCATGCCCCACCCCCAACCCCCAGGGACACAAAGACACTTTAACTGTCTGCTTATTTTAAGCAGTACCATTAAAACTGTTCATGAACCCTCTTGTGTAAAGGCATGGGATTATTCACACCCTGGCAGACATTTTTTTTTCCTTCCAGTTTAGAAGCCAGCTACCATCAAATAGGTGTGAAGGTTGAAGCAGACTGGCAATAACACCAGCCTACTAGGCCACTGATCCCCTGTTGGAGGATGGGTGCTGTCCACACAGCGGAGGAAGACTAGGAGCCACAAATGGGAGCCCAAGAATGGAGTTCTAGAACAGTGCAGAGGGGAATGATTGAAACGTAGGTCCTCAAAAGCTGCAGGAAATAGTTAAAGTGCATGCCTGAAACCGGAGTCTTAGGTGTACCCTGTAATGCTAAACATCTCAGCTGAAATAGCACTTACATGACAACCGTGAGCAGTGGGTTCTGACTGAATAAAATCACAATACAGAGGTGTCCATGTTTTAGCTCTAGCCTAAGGGACGGAGAGTTTATTCTGGAGCCAAATATGAATGATCAGATCTTGAGGATACGGACGAAAATTACACTAAACACTATATTACAACGGTAACAAGTCTCTGGAGATTTCCTAGTTATAGACCTGAAGAGAACTTTGCAAATGCTCTGGTGGACACATTAGCAGCTATGAGGGTTTCAGCACAGCAGGAGACCTCTGCTGGGGTTTCAGGTGGGAGCTGGTGACAGTCTTAGCCCTGAGCTGGTGGGGGCTGGTGATCCGCTGACACACCCCGAAGGATTCCTGTGATAGGCACAGAAACCAGACAAGCGGACGGCCAACAAACAGCTACTCAGGGGGCCAAAGATAGTCCAAACACTGGAGCGCAATCACGGGGTTCGGATCAACTGCTCAGCCTTGTAGAAATCTTTAACATACATGTGTCCCACAACCCTGAACTCAAGAGAAATGTGAATGTCCACGTGTAAGAGAGGTGGGGGCAGGGGAACGGGAAGGCTCTCTACAGGAAGAAAACCAGGGCTAAAGTTCACTTGTTCTTAGAGCGATAGAGATGAAACTTAGCAACTAAAATAGCTGAAGTTCAATAATTCTCTATCCAATCCAGGGAGATGGTCTCCGGTTTCCTGGTAAACAGTGTAAGTCTCTCCATCAGTTTTCTTCACTCTTCTACAGTACAAGCGTGCAGCTCAACCTGGAAACAGCAAAGTAAAACTGAGCCCCAATCTTTTATTTTGACATACTAGGATTTGAACTACAATAATGTACAAAAAAAAAAAAAACCCAAAACAAAAACTAAACAAACCAAAACAAAACAATAACAACAAACAAACAAAACCCCTCAAACTAAGCCTAGCCTGGTAGCACATGCCTTTAATCACATCACTCAGGGAGGCAGAGGCAGGCAGACTGTTGTGAGTTCGAGGCCAGCCTGATCTACAAAGCAAGTCCAGGACAGCTGGGGCTACACAGAGAAACCCTGTCTTGGGAGGGCAAAAAGAACCAGATTTTTTTTTCTTTGTTTATTTGGTAGAGGAGTGGTTGAGGGACAGCGGCACATAGCGAGGTCGACATATTTTCAATATAGCATGTGTATTTATAAAACCCGCAAAACCTGTTATTGTTCTGCAAAATGTTGTACCTTAATATTAAGCTCCCAGAAGGCAAGGGGGCGGGGGCAAACGGTGAACTCTTACAACAGATACAATTGCTGCTTGTGCAGAGGGGTAAGAGAAACAGGTGGGCAAAAGCGAAAGTGAAAATATTTTTATGGCTATCAAAAGTGGTGGCTTTATAGATTCAGGCCAGACATGGAAGCGGTGAGAAGCCACTGAGTAAGGCCAGAGCCATGTCGTCCTCACAGGTGCTCACAAGCTGCCTGTTTCCCTCCTTGTTGGCTGCCAGGGAGTAGAGTTAACATAGCTTTGGAGTGGATGGCTGGGATCGTGCTTCGGTGTCTAACGCTGAATCCTTCCAGGCTCAGGAAGCCCGGGGTTAGACGCTGGATTACATCAAGCAAGGACATTTGAACCATCTTGGTAGTTTGTGGAATTATCAGTTTTCATTTCAGAGTATGAGGGACAACCACCTGCTCAGAGCGGACTCAGGGTTCCTTTCCTTTCCTTTTTTCTTTCTTTTCTTTTCTTCCTTCCTTCCTTTCTTCTTTCGTTTTGTTTTTTCGAGACAGAGTTTCTCTGTGTAGTCTTGGCTCTCCTGGACTCACTTTGTAGACCAGGCTGGCCTCGAACTCACAGCAATGCGCCTGGCTCTGCCTCCCTGAGGTGTTGGGATTACAGACATGCGCCACCCTGCCCTGCTCCTCTCCTGGATTTTATGATCACCTTTCCCGCCGTTTGGAGTTTGGAGGCAGGGAATTTTCAAGTAGTTTCATTAAAAAGTTCCCAAAGTATAAACAAAATAGCTGCAGTAGACTTGCAGTGGGAATGACTGATATAACCCTAAAGACTCAAGTTCCTTCAGGGCAAAGGGAAAGATACAGGATGCTGGAGGCTGTTGCTGGTGGCTTGTGTGGCAAGCGAAAAAGGTAGTAGATGAGGCTCTGGGTCCTCCACCCTTTTACTGACTGACGGAAAATAATAATAAAATTATGATCTCTCCCACGCATAGAATGTTTTCTGTTGCCAAAAACACAATACCACCAAACAAATGAATTCTAAGGGAAACTGGTTTATTTTGGCTCGTGATTCTGGAGGTCCAAAGCTGAGGTTTCTCGCTGAGAAAAATCACAAGGCCTCACAAGGCAAAAGACAGCGAGTGTGTGTGTGCATTTGTAATATATTTGAACCCCCCCCCTTGTTTTTATAAAGCTGCATGGCTTCTACCATGGGGCCCTGCCTGAGCCTAATTACTTTTCAAAGCAGGCACTTTTCAGAGAGGTGGGATGTTTGTCCCCTAAAAGTTCACAAGTTAAAGCACTGGTCACCAAAAAGGCTCTGGGGGATGGCTGAAGCTTTAGGAGGCGAGGCTGGCAGACAGCTGGTATGCCTCTGGAGGCTCTCCTAGGAGAGAATATTGGAACCCCAGGGCCCGAGTCATACTTAATGGCCGTTGTGAGGTCATCAGTTCACGTCCTCAGGATTGACTGTGCTCCAACAGGCCTGAAGTAATAGAGATAAGCGACCACAGGCAGAACCTGTAAAACTACCAGCCCAAATACATGCTTCCATCTTGTATGTGTGCCTGGAGCTGCCGCAGTAACAGAAGCTGACCAAATTCAACCGTGGTGAATGACCACACTATTTTCAAGTCTGCAGTATTTTCTGAAGTTTGGAAAGGTGAGGAGGCATCCACTCTCGGACAGTAGAAACAGGATCAGGCTCATTTCAGCATCCAGGCACCTAGTTCAATACCTGGCACTATAAATGCCAGCCATTCAACCAGTACAGTTAATGGACACTAATCCTACTCCACACAAAGTGCGTTCCTGTAAGATGAATAGGTTGGAAAAACTGAATATAAAAGTATTTTCTAAATCGAGGATTTCAAAATTGCAATTCTGGCTATGCTGTCATGTTTCCTAACTAGGTTTGGAAGCCAGCCAAATCTGGGGTGTACACTTGAGGACATGCCAATGACCTACTTAAAAATGGGCAAATGATGGCTGATTATGAAACCAAAGAAAATTCTAGGGCGAATACATCTGTTAGAACAAAGCTGTGAATGGGTACCTTATAAATGCCAAGATTTTCAGTTATGAGGGCTTAACTGAGGTTATCAGCCTACAGTCTAGAGGCAGTGATTACAGAACTGACAGGTATTAGAAAGAATGTTTTCTGTGTCCACTGAGAACACCCTTGACTTGGTGGGATTTGTTGGCACATGCCTATTGTCCCAACACTATGGATGCAGAGGCAGGCAGACCTCCGAGTCTGAGGTGAGCCAAGCTACAGACTGATACCACCTCTAAAACAAACCAGCACAATAGGAAAACAGAACAAAGCCTAGAGAATATTTATGGTGCTCCCAGAGAGCCGAGTACCGGGCTCCGTGTTGTTTAATTTTCACGGTAAGCAATGAGGTAAAAATCCACGTGATTACCTTAAGGTGAAGGGTAGGACCAGGGTAGTTAAAAATGTGTTTGAATTTGTGCATTATTATCCCCCAATTCCTCAGTATAGCAGACTGAATTCTATGCATGACAGGGAAGCACTTTGCACCATATCCCCAGCCTCAGTCATTTGCTCAGCCTGGTCTTGAACTTACTCTTTAGCCAGCCAGGCCTTGAACTTGATCTTGTCTCAGCCTCCTGGGTAGCTGGGATGACAGACCTGTGCTGCCTACACACAACTCTCTTGGCTGTTTTTACAGTAACAGAAAGCTGACTAACAGATTAGCCTGCTGTCACTAAAAATATCTAAAGAAAGCACATACTCCAAAGGAAACCCAGCACTAACGGTAGAGGTTGTAACACAGATACATTTCTTGAACAGAATAGTTAAAACGCTGAACACATAATACAAAGTATCAAAAATTCTGCTGTTTCCCCAGGTTTGAAGGAGATTACCTGCTTACGAGGCTTTCTACAGGGACTGATTTTATATGTGAAGTCTGTACCTCTATGAAACCATAACTAAGTTAGCATGGATCTGTATGGGTATAGCAAGGTCCTAAAGAAAATGATCACGAACAAGAGAAGTGTATCATCATCTTTATATACAAAAACAAAGGCCCAAAATACGGTTTGTTGAAGTAGCTATCAACAGGACGCCGGCTGATTTCACGTTTGCTTTGGTTACCACAGCCTAGGATCACCAGTAGGCCCTCCTACTGACAGCACAGACACACACCAACAGGACTGCCTTCAATACAGGACAAAGGGCTCTCAGGAAAAAATTAATTTAAAACTAAAACATTTTACCAAAAAAAAAAAAAAAAAAATTTAAAGGTAGCTTTTCCATCCGACAATTTCGGGCATAACATGTACACCAATTTTGAAAACAAAGTTTTTCTCACAATAGTAATAACAGGTGTTAGCATAGCAAGCCATGTCATGAAACTACTTTAATGCACTTTTTTTTTTTAAAAAAAGGGAAGCCTTCAGAACCAAACATGAACTTTAAAAGTTGGCACTTTCTACAAGTATACACATCCTAAAACAACCACCTAGCACTTTCCTACAGAACATAATTCAAACTCTGTTGGCATTTTAATATATTCCTAAGGAAATAGTTAAAAGAACATTTCGTACACCGGATCTGAAACAAAGTTCATAATTTTGATTTATGGCTATGACAAGGCAGTCATCTTCTATTGAAAACTGCAACCAGTGATAAAACATACTTGGAAAACAAACATTTGGGCTGATGATTTTTAATATTGGGTTAAAACAGTTTGATGTTTGTTGCCAATGAAAGGTACTTTAATCCAATGTGCAAAAAGAAAAAGAAAAAAAAAAAAAAAAAAAAGAAAGTGCAGGTGTCCTTTTTCTTGAAATACATAAGACCAACACTACTATTTACACACGTAAAAAGATTTTAAATTTATTTAAGCATCTTCTTTATGGGATATTGAGTGCTGCAGAGAGCCCCAAAGCTTGATGATCCATAAATTACAAAAAACATACTTGAAGAAGCATTTCTGTTCTTGTCCAAATTTTGATCTTAAATACAAAACCAATTTTGAAATCAGTCAAGATTTCAAGACCTAGGGAATCTTAGGGTTTTTTTTTTTTTTTTAATCTGTGGAAACCTTGTCTGAGAGAGACTTTTCTCCTCCTCTCACTACTGGTCCACTGCAGACGCCTGAGGTGGTGTGGCCACACTGGACAGAGGAGGAACTCGGTCCCAACGCCACCAGTACCTCGGTGTTTTCACTCACCCTGAGGCACACATGACCCGCAGCGTTTTGGGGTGTATATGGGAGCCCTCTCGATGGATGAAGAGACACTTCAGCAAAGCAACCATTATCTGTCCACAGGAACAGTGAAAACAATGATATATATATGTAAAACTGATAAATCAAATATAAAACTAACACCATCCATTTTTTTTTTTTCTCCAAACTTGGTTTTGTACTTATGCAGTGTTCTGGGTAAGCCTATGCCAACGTTTTCGGCATCGGCATGATGTTCTCGTATACGGTTATTCAAACTGCTGTCTAGACCGCAAGTCATATATACCGGGACAATCAAGAAATGAATTTACTCAATTACTCTGTGCAGTGCACTCACCAGGCAAGCAAAGAGGAGTTAAGCATGAAACAGAAGCCGCTCACTTTAAACTGGACAAAGGAGTTTTCAAATTGAAACCATAAAGAAGGGCAGGGGAGCTTACCGGGAATATGAATATCAGACATCAAAAACAAAACACACACACAAAAAACCCCCCACAACTGTTTGGTCAGAACGTAGGAACGTAATTGCCTTGAGAAATCTGAAAATTCCCTAAGTGGAGCAAGCACTGCCTTTAAGGTCCAGTCAGCACAACACACCGTAAGCGGCCACAGAGCAGTCAAAGGTCTTCACCCACTACAATCAATGCAACCTCGGCTCCTACCCCCCAGGCCAAGTGTTCCCGACCCCCGGCCTCAGCTGCAGGCGATGGTCTCCAGCTGCTGCTCGGCCTCGGCGGCCATAGCTGCAGCCTGCAACTGCTCCGTCTCACTCTGGATGGCACTGGGGGTGACCTGTTTCCTCTCACTGTGCATATTGTTCTCGTGCCTCTTCAGATCCGAGGCCTTGGCAAACGCCTTGGTACAGGAGCCGCACACAAACGGCTTCTCCCCTCTGTGCCTCCTCTCGTGGTCCTTGAGGTGAGACTTGTGTTTGAAGGCCTTGTCACACATGTGGCACGCAAACGGTCTCTCGTTGCTGTGGACCCTCTCGTGCTTCTTCAGGTCTGGGGCCCGGATGAAGGACTTCCCACACACCTCACAGCTGTAGGGCTTATACCCCGTGTGGATTTTCAGGTGTTCCTTCAGGTGGGCCTGCGTGGTGAAGCCTTTCGTGCACATCTCACAGACGAACGGCCTGTCTGCCGTGTGAAGCTTTTCGTGCTTCCTCAATCTGCCCTCATCGGAAAAGGTCTTACCGCACGCCTGGCAGGCGATCTGCTCCCGGTGGTGACCGTAGAGCAGATACTCGAACTTCATGTCGCTGGCGGCCGTGGTCCAGCCCGGAGTCTGCTCGTCTTTCACTTCGCTCATCCCATCGTTAAACGTCAAGGCTTGAGGGGTCTGCGACCCCAAATCTTTGGACTCGGGGGTCTCCATGGATTCCACTTCCTGGCCGTAGCAGTTCACTTTTCGAACTTCCTCGCTCCCCAGCTCTTTCAGAATTGCTTCCTGAACCCGGAGGGTGGTCGTGGGAGACTTGCCGTCCTCCTGACTCGGGGGGGTGCCTTCTACCGTGTCGTCCGAGGGGCTGTCGTCCTGATCCCCGATTTCTTCCACGTCGTCGTCCTGAGTGTCGGCGGCATCTCCGATGGGGCGGTTTAATTTGAGGCAGTACTTACTCTTGGATTGGCCGTTACTCTCATCCGGGCTGGACACGTCACGCTTCTGAGAACAGAGTTTATCCAAAAACCGGATGCCGAGAATCTGACCTGATGACATCATCAGGTTAACATCCTCCTTTTTCACGGAGATCTTGGCCGTGTACATGTAGTTCAGGACCTCCTCAAAGATGTCCGAGCGCAGGAAATCTATCTCTATGACGGAGGAGCTGTCCACTTCCAGCTTCTTGAAAAGCTTCTTAAAGTACGTGCTGCAGGCAGCAAGGACGCACCGGTGGGCTCTGAACTTCACATCTTCAACCACGATGGCGATGTCACAGAATTCTCCCTCCAGGCGCTGCTCATTGAGCGTTTTCAGAAACAGCGTTTTATGATCATCGTCATTATATTTTATGGTTTCAGACATACTGATGAAAAACTCCTGCAAAAAAAAAAAAATAATAATTTTAAAGGACTTTAATTGTTGTGAATGTAGTACTTCCCATACAAAAATTAGTCATCCTGTGAGTGTCTGGAAAGCATTTAGAAAGTCAGTGTTAAACATGGCTTAAGAACTCATGCTGCCAAACTGTCAAGACGGAGAGGGAAAGACCGATAAACAGCCTATGTAAACTCCAGTGGGCACAGGTTGGCCAGCGGTAATTCCAAGAAGGTGCAATCGGATCCCGAGCAAAGACGGCTAGCTCTACCAGCCGAGCAGTGAACTTCAGGTTGAACTGAGAGATCCTGTCCCAACTAACCAGGTGGAGAGAGCCATCAAAGAACCACCGCCCAACCCTGTCCACCTCCGGTGGCCACAGGAACGGCCCCGCGCATGCACACACACACTCATACACATGCAGACATGTATGCAACAGCCAATGCAGAGGGGGGTAAAAAAAGAAGCCTCAAGCCCTAACGTGGAATCTAACTTCAGGTGTGGAGGGTTCTGGAAAACAACGTTGGGGCTGGGCACTACACTTTCTTGAGAGGAGAGACAAAGCAGCATTGAAGAAATAGACAGGGCATTGCTGCCACATAGTCTGTGCTGTCTTCTAGTTTCTCCACAGCAGTTTTGGGCACTCCCGGACGAGGGTATCAAGGTTTAAACTGACCCCAAAAGACATCTGGGAAGAGTGATGAGTGGCTTCATGTTCACAGGATGTCAGCCTTCCAGCCATCCAGTAAGAAGTCTCACCAGCAACACATGTACAGGTGGAGAAATCTTTCTTGGAAATGCTTGGGACCAGAAGCCTTTCAAATTTCAGATTTTTTTTCCCTCCAGACTTTGCAATACATGCATATACATAACGAGTTAAACGAGAGATGGCAGCACAAGCCTAAATACAAAAATAGTTGATATATTATGTATACCTTGTACACAAAACATGAAGGTAATTTATGTACTATTTCAAATAATGTATTTTCTTGTTCACCATCATCTTTTTGTTGTTATTTTGTGAGACAGGGTTTCTCTGTGTAACCCTGGCTGTCCTAGAACTCGATCTGTAGACCAGGCTGGCCTCAAACTCAGAGATCCGCCTACCTCAAGTAATATTTTAAACAAAATTTCACAGGATAGAATTTTCATTTGTGGCTTACTGCCCTTCAAAAACTTTCAGAGTTTGAACATTTTGGTCTGGTCTTATGTTCAACTCGGAGAACTCGGTAAGTAATGGAGTATTTTAAAAGTAAAATAATTTCAGGGCCATCGTGAAAGACCTACCACTGTGTTCAAGAATTAATCTACAAATAATGTGTTTTACATTTTCCATCAAAAAAGCATTATGATACTTTTATTCAACAAAGTGTAAGCCTGAGGAAAACTGATTTTTCCTCAGGGAAATAGAATCGGAAATGTATGACGAGAGAGAGAGAGAGAGAGAGAGAGAGAGAGA